TGCAAGTTCCAACAGGATCCGCGCATCGACGCTCGTCCGACTGAGGTCGCTTGCTGTGCACTACAGAATGCTACCTCCTCCGTTCTTTTCATGCAGCCATTGGATTTGGCAATTTCCAGTGCCTCAGTAAGCAACCTCTGGGGGTATATCGCAACCCTCATTAACAAACTCGAAATTACTACTGAGTAGGAGGATTTTAATTTTAATGTTTTCGTCCAAGTAGCTTGCAAGCAACATAGCACAGTCTTGTCTGGAAAAGTTCTATACTAGGCTGTGCTATATAGCTTGCGAGCTACTGGGACGAAAACATAAATTAAAATCCTCCTACTCATTAGCAATATAAAATGTAGCCTCCCCTGGTTTCAAATGCTATGGATGTAGCGTCTAGTGAGAGGAATTCATGACCTTCGGAGGCTACCCACTGTCATCTGCTAAGGTGGTAACCGGCGTGTAAGTGGAAGATAGATCTTGCTATGTCCCAGTTAGCTTGCAAATTGTGTGACCCAGCCGACTTCCCCCCATGGTTCAGTGGCTTAAGCTGCTGGCGAGCTGGCATCTTCTTCTAACGGTTATGGGTTCGACTCCCAGTAGGAGATCGAGGAATACGCAGCCCTGACGAGCCCCAATAGGGCGAAAGGCGTCTGGCGCTTTTCAGGACTAGGCTATGCTATGTAGCTTGTAAGCTACTGGGACGAAAACATTAAACTCGAAATTATCCCGGAGAACTTTGTGCCCGGTTTCGAGCGCATGCACGGCCACGGCCGAGTCCCTTAGTACTGTCAATTGTTCCCAAACCCCTCTGAACTTATGAACTCTTGAACAGTGCCAAGTATGTTCTACGATTACGAAATAAACCTCATATTTCTCAACGATGCGAGAGACTGTTCTCACATAGGGACAGATTACCAGGTATATGGTTGTGTTTCACAGATGACGTCATCCAACATAGGATTGCTGAGCAAGCGCTTTAGCGTGGGAAGTTGGCGAGTATGTAAACAGTTACGGGAGTTATATCGTTGTTGAACTATTTGGTAAGTCCCTATTAGTGCCACACATTTATTGGATTATGGTTTGGAAGCAATCAAGTATTCTATGGAAAAACTCTGACCGAGATTTTCCTCATATTCGTACAAAGGCTTCTACTGGCTTACCTTCGTTGGTTGCCAGTTATGGTTGATCTGAATTGAATTTGATTTGATATCGTCTCGTCAACAAGTCTCATCGCACTCCAACCGAAAAAGGTTGAGAAACAAACTGTTAATTATCCGACAAAAACCGCGGTTCACTGAAACGTTTTAGTTAATTCAACTTCTTCTATTTAGTTATTGTGGATGATTTACGCTGTTTGACACCATGCGTAGATTGGATCCTTTTTCTAAATTATTATTTGCATGACGACGAAGAACCGTCACATCCCAGATCTGAGTTTCAGGGAACATAGTCTCATTTTCAATAGCAGTACCTTAGCAGGTTGCTTTGAACAAGTCCTACAGCCCCATTCTTATCACCGGAGACCTTAAGTTGCACAAATTGGAAACGCCAACACCCGATAGTGTACAATTTAATGCCTGTTTGCAGGAGCCGATTTCTAGCTACCCCCGGTACAACCACGTAACTTCTCCCACCAGATGTTGCGTTGTCAGCAGACCCGTCGATACTTGATCTTCTGCTCACCAAGGAAGAACTCATGGTAGAGAGAATAGTTACAAGCACATCACTGGGTCGTAGTGACCGTGTTACTCTACTGTTTGACTATGTAACTTATGCGGAATATCCTGAAAAGGAGGATGATGAAGTATATACTGTCACGCACTACAACATGTTGTCAGCGCTCTTTAAAGAGACATAGTTGACGTTGTTAATCGAATACTCCCCAGATTTCACCTGAGAAATGCGCACTAATATGTTTACCACACAGGTAGAGGGCGCATCGGAACAGAAGTCTTTCTATCCTAAAATCAAAGGCATCACTCCTGAGGAGCGGGACACGTAAAGTATTTCGATTGGCGAGCTCACAAGGACTGCCCAAATGCTGACACCTGGAGTGCATAGATGACCCATCGTAACCTGTGTGAAATTGATCCGTGAGGACAAGTTGACACTTCAGCAGGAGTTTATGGAACGATGCTGCATGAACCGCATCTATTACAAGGCACCTTAATGGCCTTGGTAAACTGAAGCGAAGAATCCCAGCACTGATCACGGCTGATGGGTGCATGCGATCGGCAATGGAAACAGCCGATCACTTACGGCTTCATGACTTCTAACGGCTAAAAAGCCAACATTCTCCTCTTTTTTATTACTCTACCAACAAGTTCATTCAACATCACCTTCACTGCAGAAGCTGCGTTGTAGAAGTCGTTAGCCCTGCGTATGCACTGTTCTCCTGGAGTAGATAACATTCGGCCGAAGGCTCTGCAGGCAGTAGCCCGTGATCCAGCAGAACCACTGGCTTTTTTCTATCAGCGATGTCTAAGGAACCAAATTCCCCCAGTATGGAAGCGAGGTGTTATCACTCGTATTCATTAGGAAGGTAGCCCCACTGACCCTCCCAATTACCGTCCAATAACACTGCTTCTTTTGGTCTCCAAAGTAATGGAAGTAATCATCGCAGATGCGCTGATGAAATATCTGGATAACCATAATAGCCACAGAGCAATATGGCCTCCCTCAAAAGCGTTCATGTAGTACCAATCTATTAGTTGTACGCAATAACTGGACTGAAGTAGTTTATGTTGGAGCAGGAGTGGATGTCCTCTACTTGAATTTCCCAAAAGCGTTTGGTCGCTTAGACCATGAAATTTTTCTTCGCAAGCTACGGAAATACGGAAATGGTGACCCAAGCTTGAGTTAGATAAACATTTTGCTACACGGATGTCGTTTGGATGTGAGTCAGGTAATCTCTGTCCGATGCAAATGATGTGGAGTGTTGTGTAACACAAGGTTCGGCACCTGGATCTCGTCTATCCTTGGTGTTCATACACTATCTAATGAGCTAAATGGCTTCCGATTTCTTATTTTTCACGGATTATATCAAGACATGTCGAGCGATCATAGGACCGGACGACCAAGAAAGAATGTAGTGCGATCTTAACACGAGTTCGAACTGGCCAGCTCTGAATGCCTTACTATTTAATGTAGATAATTGTCGCGTTTTTCAATTACCCCATTGACATGCCTACATGTATTTGCATGGGGCAGCCGGATTGCAGACTAGCTTCCAGGAACGTGACCTTGATGTGTTTATGCAGGGTGACCTCAACTATTTAAAACAGGCCGAGGTAGCTACGAAAAAAGGCAATTAGCATGCTGGCCTGCTGGGAAGAGCCTTCCGGAGATTTGACCCGTTAATGTTCCCAGTGCTGCACAATTCTCACTTACGCCCTCACGTTACAATACGCAATCCAAGCTTGGCAACCTTGGTTGAAGCGTGACCTAGAGACGCTAGATGCACCACAACGAAGTGCAACAAGGAATGTCAAGAGCCTACGTAATCACTCTTGCCAATCACTGGGAGTTTTCGACGGACGCTACTGAAGGCTGCGAAACGATCTCAAATTTGTGTACCAACTACTGAACGACTTCAACCACGTTTGTCGCTGTTTGCCGAAACAGCCATAAAACCAAGCGCCGAGGTAACTGTCTGAAACTGAGTGAACAGTACATCCATCTAGTGTCAACGCAATTACTTTTCGGGTTTGTCCCATTGGGTTTGTCAACCCTGGAACTCTCTCTCTAAAACTCAATTGTCTCCTCCCTTACATTGGACATATCCAAAAATGGTTGGATGTTGTTCTTAGCGCCAAGGACTACAGTACCTAAACTATGATATTGTGGATTACGTTAGTCATGCCCTTCTGTCGGATTCATGCGTCAAAATGATCCAAAGAGGCGGCGCATAAGTGAGCGACCATATATTACTTTTCTCACGCTATAGGTCAAAGGACAGTGCAACTCGCGTACTGTATGGTTGCATGCGATGTTTGTTTTACACTAATGTCATTTCTCAACACATTTGACCCGGTAGACATAATGACTCACAAACCTTTTTGACTTCATTGTATTCATCGCACCATCCTACGCAACGTGTCAAGCAAGTCTTTAACCCGGGATAATTCCTTTTTAATTATTCTAGCTTTCTTGCAAATGTATGAATGGCACTGACTAAGATATTTTACTTTACGATAGCGAAATATTCAGTTGTAGTAGTAGTAGAAGTAGTAGTAATCGTAGTAGTAGTTGTTGCTGTTGTTGTTGCGTATTTTGGAAGGATTTGGTAGATGAATGGATAATAACCAGGGCAATTGGAATGCTGAGTTTCCTCGAAGTGAATTCAGATCAATCGTGTCACTTGGACCGTATCTGAACCGGGTGAATATTGGGCAAAATTTGATCCCCAGCTGTCCTCCATGCTAGATTTCCTTCTTATTTGAAGCCCTGGGTCCCCACCCCACCAGAAAGTAGTGACTGCAAATAGACACCTTGGCAACCTCACCACGGGTTTCAGTCGGTATAAGGTTGCAGAGTCATTATGGCGCACCTAATTTCATAAAATGAGTTTCTAGCGGACCTTTGTAGGCCGTGCTTACGAAGTGTTGAACCGGGCAGTAAAGTTGTATAATTTCAGCTACTCGATATTCTATGTTAGAGAAGCTGAAATACTGACTGATCTTTGATAAGGAATCGGAGGAGCTCTTGTTAGGAAGTAAATAAAATCGTTTCATAGCAGTCGTCAAATTGGTCTTCTAGTGTACGCACAACATTTACAGTTTACTTGACGCACATCCAGAACGATGAACAGGCTGTTGATTTCAAAACAAGAATGTTCAAGTGCGTCGGGTGACAGCATGTCGAAACGTGCTAGGCGTTTGCAGCTTGTGCTGATATGAAGGCACATGTCGCGTGTCAACTCTCGTGAGTTGTATCAAGTTTGCTAGGAGGCGGCTCATTGGTGAGCTTAACTGGCGTATATAAAGCTTTCAAATGACAATACGTGTCTTAGTGGTGACATAGTAGGGTGGTTGCTTACTTGTTTTATTCAACTAGACTGGATCAAGTTGTTACTTCGTATCATGGTAAGTCATTATTTATTGTATGTCGTCTAGTTTGCCCCAGCGAGAGTGCATCAATGTCCACGTGGGACAAGCGGGAGTTCAAATTGGAAATGCGTGCTGGGAGCTCTATTGCATTGAGCACGGAATAGATCCGAATGGTCAAATGCCAGAGGATAAAACGCCAGGTGTATGCGATGGGTACTACAATTCGTTTTTTAGCGAGACCGGATCGGGAAAACACGTACCAAGAGCTGTGTTCATCGATCTTGAGCCCACTGTGATTGACGAAGTGCGGACAGGAACCTATCGGCAGTTGTTCCATCCAGAACAGTTAATAAGCGGCAAAGAAGACGCGGCAAACAACTACGCCCGCGGACACTACACCGTCGGACGCGAGTTCATCGATGCGGTAACCGACCGGATACGTAAAATGACCGAACAGTGTTCCGGCTTGCAAGGATTCTTTGTGTTCCACTCGTTCGGAGGCGGTACCGGTTCCGGGTTCACTTCGCTTTTGATGGAGAAGATTAATTTGGAGTATGGGAAGAAGCCGAAGCTGGAATTCGCTATCTACCCGGCGCCCACAGTGTCCACCGCAGTGGTTGAACCGTACAATTCCATCCTGACCACGCACACTACCTTGGAACATTCGAATTGCGCTTTTATGGTTGATAATGAGGCGATTTATGATATATGCAAGTGAGTCTGTTCACACGTGTACATTATGTATAACCTAATTTAGGCGAAAACTTACTATATCGCGTCCATCGTACGCAAATCTCAACCGCCTCATCGCTCAGGTGGTCAGTTCGGTCACCGCCTCGCTACGCTTTGAAGGCTCGTTGAACGTAGATTTGAATGAATTTCAAACCAATTTGGTTCCGTTTCCCCGTATTCATTTCCCACTGGCCACTTACGCGCCTGTCATATCGGCCGAGAAAGCGCATCATGAACAGTTGAGCGTGTCGGAAATCACACACGCATGCTTTGAACCCGCAAGTCAGATGGTGAAGTGCGATCCTCGGAACGGCAAGTATGTAGCCTGTTGTCTGTTGTATCGTGGCGACGTGGTGTCCAAAGATGCGATAGATACTATCTCGGTGATCAAGACGAAAGGCTCGATCCATTTTGTCGACTGGGCACCAGCCGGCTTTAAACTTGGCATCAACAGTCAACCCCCATCGGTGGTACCTGGGGGCGATCTGGCCAAAGTAAAAAGGGCCTTGTGCATGCTAAGCAATATGACAGCCATACGTGAGGCTTGGCAACGTTTGAACGACAAATTTGACCTAATGTACTCGAAACGTGCGTTTGTACATTGGTACGTAGGAGAGGGAATGGAAGAGGGCGAGTTTGTGGAGGCGCGTGAAGATCTTGCGGCGCTTGAGAAGGATTACGAAGAGATTGCCATGGAGACTCCAGTGGATGATGATGAAGGGAACGAAACATATTGATTTCAAGCTTTGTACTTCTTTGTCATGCTTACTTACGTAACGTCTTTTTATACTATACAGTGAACTATTCGCTATGAAAAGATTGTTATTATATAATAAAGTAGGTGAATGTACAAGCGGTTCGACGTTGTCAGCGACACATGCCTGTAAGTGTTGAGTGCCTGCTTGCTGCTTAAGAATCTGCAAGGGACAACATATTCTTATCTGTTGGCCATTTAGGGTGCGACGAAAAGTGTTTCTAAAGAAAGTAGAGTGCAAAAGTAACAGAACATTATAAGTTGAAGAACACGTGCTGAAAGAAATTTTTGCGGAACGGACTTCAGTAGCTGTCGGCTGGTCATTCGGAGGCAGACTGTAAACACCACGGTCGAGCGCTAGATGTGGATATTCTGTCCACTAGGTCGCTGAAATGTGATCGATAACATGGTAGTCGAGCAGAAGTGATTGCACAATTCCAACTTGGGTCGGTAGTTGCATCCGAAACTACATGAATTGATCAGGTTCAGACCACGCGCCGATGATCTGAGCAGAATTTATTAACTAAGAAGAAGTTATAGTCCCCAAAGTATACAGAACGTCAGGTCGCCGTGATGGCTACTTGAGCGGCCAACTCCGACTGCAGTCCTGCACGGATGCAGAACAACGGCCTTCGAAGGGATGCGTGTTCAGAACGGGTCCACTGTTCTGCAATGAAAGCGTGAGGCATTTAGTGTTGTTAAAGCAGCCCAAAACCAGTCTCGGTTGTTAAACCATAAACCGAATTTTTGTAACGTAACGTCCTCTCATTCGAATGTGGCTAAGCGTCGCTCTGTATGACCGGAATCACCTTGGTGAGAGCTTGTGAGATTGATGTAATGCGATCCACATGAAACAACACTTCGTAGAAGAAAGGTAAAGAAATCGACCGCGATATTTGTTCAGAACAAACGACATTCATGGCGCTCTAAAGGGCGAGACTGAGCAAGCCTTCAGCTTGTAACATATATGCACCTGAGCCGTGAGCACCAACATGCTGGGTGACAAAAGGTGCTGACTTTCATTCACGCCGAGGAGCGGATGAATGAGGAACTTAACGCCTGCTGTGAAGTATATGTTGATGTTTCTCCTTGCTGGGTAAATGCAATGCTAAACATTGATGTGTCCCAAAATTGCCTAACGGTTGTCTAGAGGTGCTTGTTTCTCGTACTTTACTCCAAATCCCTACCATCATTGCTCTACAAAGTTTACGTATGCTTAATTAACAATTCGCTCCTCGACAACGCCCCGAGCGTCGGTAGTACGTTTAAGCCTCAACGTTTACTTGACCACACATAGAAAGTAAAATTACCAAATCTCAGCTGGACATTATTAATACAGTTAGCTAAAGCAAGGTGTAAAACCCAATCACTGTGGTGGGAATGAAAAAAGGGAAACGATACTGAGGATTGGCATGGGGAGTAAAATGGTATAAACTGTTGTCGTCGCATTTAGACAAAATCAAACTGCCAGCGACATCCGGTAAATCACTGATAGACCGATTGGTATTAAAAACTAGTCAGTAATGCCCATTTCATTGGTCCTGTAATGTGGTTATACCCCGCTATCTCTTGCTTTCATGTTTATCATCAAGACTGCAAAGCCATTGCATGTGTATATCGCCACTATGACGAAGTTACCAGTTGCAATATAGTGCACCTGGACTTTTAGTAGGTAGAGTATAAACTAGCGAAGAAATTTAATATGACAAGAAAAAGAAATGGATCATGATGTTAGGGATTTCGGTGGTGCTTTCTACCATGCTTTTATTCAATACAGTTATGGCAGAAACTGCGCTGCGCATCTTACCTACTTCCGAGCATCAAACTAGACCAGCAAATTGATGCACTAAACTACCACGACACCGCAAGATGTAACCAGTCAGCTCATTAGGACGCCGTAGCCAACAAGTCCAGCGTGTAACTTACAGCGCGGATGCTAGCGTATGCGAGGGCGGGACGGGATGGGATACTTCAAAGGGTTCAGATCAAAAATTACGGCAGACAGATGCAACTAGGGGTAAATCGAGCGGAATTTGACTTTCTGTAGACCATGTTGCAACAACGCGGAATTTTTTTCGGTAATCGAGAGGAAAACTACTCGGGCAAATATATTGGAGTGACATTGTTAAAGGAGAAAAGTTTGATAGCCTGCCTTGGCAAATTCTGAATACTAATTTGTGACACTTCAACATGCTTTCTTATTAAACAGTTCAGGGGACCATGCCTACAAAATTAACACAAACCTTCTGAGCTGGCTGGGTGTAACGCACTCTTAGTCGCGGGCATTGTCTTTAAGAAAGTGGTCTACGACTGGGAGCTGAAGGCAAGCTGTCTTCATAAGGTGTCAAAATCTTACTGGTTCTGAAAACAGCACATTGGTTGTCATGTTTGGTGGTATCTGGAACAATTCGTCTGGAATCATCGGACACGGGCCCATCCGGCTGGGAGCACATGACTGGCTAACTTAGCTTCCCAAGCGTTTCTTTAATAAGGTGCCATTTAGTTTCTCCAACACTCCTGTATACAGCATCGCTCTAAAATTGCTTAAACTGCAGTAACGATTAGTGATCCAATTTTACGAAATCATTGCTCCGGTGCAGGAGTGGGGTTCTGTTCTGTGCGATGCGGTAGGGAGTCAACCGTGCAGTAACACAGTTGGTGGCTGTGTCATATCAGCTGTCCCCCCTGGATGCATTTCTCACTGCTTAAACGGGCCACTGGCTTGGGTGCCTCAGTTGAACGTGGAAATGTGTAACTCTGAAAAGGAAAGTCATCGAAATGTGACTTGACGGATGGGTGACTGTCTATTAGAGCAGCTGACTCCCTCTCAGTCATGCAAGATGAGTAGCAATGTGCTTCCGCATTCCGGTTGAGAGATTTTTGTTTTTTTTTGTCAATTCAGCACCCATGCGTTGCATAGGTCAACTTGGTCGGGAGTGGGTAGGTAAAATATAATGTGTTTGATGGTTTACAGGCGTGCGCAAGTTGTGTCCCAACCAGTATAGGTACCTGGACCTATTATGGGAGCTGACCGGTCGACTCTGACATCACACATGCACACGTCAGTTCTGCGGTTGAGGTCATGGGGAGCGGTAATTCACTTTCTTCATGACACGTGCAAGACCGCAAGCCCCACTCGGAAACGTGAGTTCATTAACTAACCTCATCCCGTCTACATCGGTCGGCAGCGTTAGGCATATTTAACTGAACCCAGGCTTAGCTCCAGCTAAATAGACGGCATCCAAAGGGACCGAGGAGTGAAAACCAGTAGAGTTTTAGGAGCATGGACCAATTACTTGACAACGCATCCCCTTGGTAGACGCGCTTGGCGAACCCGCGTCACTTCAACAGTTGCATACTTACTGTTCCATTTTCCAATTGGCATACATACCTCGAAATCGAGAACTAGTGTGATACTAAGAGTAAAACCGACTAGCTTATTAAATTATGATCACTTGTGTTGCACAGCCAAAATCGACTCTTGATGAAATGGACGCACTTCCTACACTTACATCACGTCGTTCCTAGTCTCTTGACAAACTGTGCAAAGTTGGTCCGAGAGACAAGCCGAGCCACGCTTCATCACACCAAAGGATCGATCGAGCCTCTGGTTCACATGCGTAGCGCACATCATTAAAGTTGAGTCGTTGGAATGCGAAACACGTGATGCGATCATTGCAATGCAATGCAGAAGGATGTCACGCTTAGGTACACACTAAGCACACTTGATCACGGTACTAGAGTAAGTTATACTAAACTAGAGCAAAACGTTTACGCGCTATCAACTCAGCTGCAAGGGGGCTTTAAACGGCACAGGCTCCAAATGCCACCGATTGGACAATGTCAGTCTTAAAACAACATGCATAAACTTTCATTATCCTAACAAGAATATTTCAGTAACCTGATATTACGCCACGTTGCTATGCTTACCTGACTGCTTCCGGCATGAGGATTCATAAGGAAGGAAGATAAGAGGCCCGGATTACGACGAAAATGCCGCAGGCTATCGTTCCAGTACAGGGCACATAGTTCTTAGTAACTACCTTAGATCGCCATTCTCCCTAATCCTTAGTTCGAATAAACAATGACTTGGGCACTCCTGTAGCCGATGCGCTTTAAGCGGACAGGCACTGTGATGCCGGTATCATCAGTTCTGATAGCGTTTTAACTCTTACACTATCATTTACCTCATCATCTAAAGCAGTACGCCAGCACGCAGCGTGCTGGCTGCACATTCGTGGACGCTTGGTTATTCGCAGGTATGCTGCCGCATCCTATCATATACCACTGGATCTATACTTGTTTGTCTTCATTTGACAAGCTCCAACTCGTGGTGCCATTTTCTCGAGAACGCCACCAGAGAATCTTACATTTTCCCGGAATTGTAAACTCTGGTGAGTGTTCCACATAGATCCATGCGCAAAAGTTGCGCAATTACAATCCTCGAACCCGTTTCAGTCTCACTCAATAGAACATCTCAGATGCGTCCAAATAAGCTCACACCCGTTCCAATCTAATACTTTATGGAGCCACTACGGCGTAATCTATGTTTCGCTGCAGCGAATCCCAAAGCAACTTTTTTAGGCAGATCCGCCTTGCGATTAATAGACCGAGCCACGTAGTCTGTTTACCACACCACCGTGGGATTGTATCATGGACACAGCCGCACCCTGTCGACACGGCAGCAAAAGCGGATATAACACTTAAACATTGCCTTGTGACCTTAGCTTTAACTCGCGGACGTGACTCGATGGCTTTAGGTCCTCTCTAACCATTCACAACGGTAACGTAACGTGTGTCATGGTCAGCACCAAGATGATGGGCAGCGGATGGAGTCATCCTGCTCGTATAGACGGTACTACGCAAGACTTGCAGAAATGACAATCACAGGGGCGCACACTGCTAGACCAAGCAAACCAAGACCTAGAGCTCCGGAATTGGATGGTAATCGTAACATGGGAAGCTGTGTTAAACACATACGAGTTGTAGTTGAAGGCTTTAACCGTTGAGGAAAATACCATCCTAAATATGCTGACCCCAGTCTCAGTGAGATAAAGAAACGT